GAAATCTTAGTTGGTGAGCCTGGAGATCTGTATTCTTTAAATGCTCTTCAAATGATTCTGACTGAATCATATTTACCCATGCCCATATTTACTGATGCCCCACCCCAACAGTGATTATTCTATGCATTTTATTGACTTGTTCACAATGTGCATTTTAGCAGCAAATAGAGGGATAAACTCATAGATTAAAGTTAAATACACTTAGAAATGGTCTCTTACATGGAAGGAATTAACTTTCCAGTATAGCTAAAAGTTAACCAGACTTTTTGCTCTTGGTATGCGTATTGCTTTATAATTTATAACATCCTGCTAATTTTTTCTTACAGAAATACATTTTCGGGAAATGGCCTCTAAATCTTGGCTGAATTTTTTATCCTTCCTCTGTGGATCAGCAATTGGATTTGTTTTATGTTCTCAGCTATTTAGTGTATTGTTGGGAGAACAGGATGACACCCAACCTAATATTCTTCATAATGATCCTCATGCTAGACATTCAGATGATAACGGACAGAATCATCTAAAAGGACAGATAAACTTCAATGCAGATGCTAGCCAACATAAAGGTATGGTTTACTTTATTAAGGAGTAAACATAAACAGTATTTTTTAGTGTGTGTAAATGTTGAGAGAATTGGGAAAAGTTATTTATGTGAATTTTGTTATATCACTATATCTTTTGATGAAAATGAGCTTAATTCCACATATTAAATTACAATTTTCAGTTTGCCTCAGGAGAAAGAAATTGCTAAAACTCAGATTTATTTAGGTAGTAAAGAATTAATTTTGAAGGTATTTTTCAGTAGAAACAGTTCACAAACTATAATTTGGGGAAAGGCAAAACTTCAGACTAGATTTTCTGAAAATTTTGTTTAACTTTGTTATGGTTTATATTTGTGACTTTGGTTTCTACTATTGTCTTGTTTTGGTCTTAGTTTTTGCTTAGTCATGTTTTCCTAGAGAAACTCAAGATATATATGGATATATATATATATATATATATATAT